CACAGAGCAGACTAACTCCCTAGAGTGAGGATACCTCAATTTTATATGCCACATTCCACTGGAACAGCTAAGTCATTGGAAGTCATCAAGTGGAAATTATAGTTAAATGATGTAATTTTTCAGGTGCTGATGCCAAAAGATAAAACATGTAAAAACAAATAGCAAGGAGAAGTACAGATGAGTGGGAAGAATTGTATTTAAATAAGTGTGAGGTAGAAAGGTTTATAAGGAAACTATTTCAGTGAGTGGGGCAGGAGATGAGACCTGAAATTGAAATGGTGAAAATGTGAAGGGAGAAAGTAGAAGGAAGGTGGGATTTGATGATGAATACTAATAAGAAAAAGAGACTCAAAAGTAGTTGGCCACTAAGTATAGATGTAGGTGTGGAGGAGAGAAAGGGAGTAGTCAAAGACAATTTCAAGATTTTGGCACTACAGAAAATAGAGATGTCAAGGGAAAGAGCAGTTTCAAGAGGAAAGATCACAAGGCCTAGAGTTTAAAGTGGTACTGGGACAGCTGATACTGGTGGACATGTGCAGAAGGCTATTTGTTCAATAAATGCTTGATTAGTGAAGATGATGGCTTTGCTTAACTCTGATTCACTTAAATCCAATTCATGAGCAAGTCAAGACATTCCCTATGGCATCACTGGCTCTCTTCAAAAACAAAGGATAACTTGATTGGTTAGAAAATCATTCCTTGCCCTGACATCAAGGTCTTTGATTTCCTCAACTTGAAAACTCTCTCTACCTATACAGATCATAGTCCTTAAAGCTTTAATAGCTTAAAATTGCACTAAGACCTTGGGAACACCATGGTTTTAGAAATTTGCCTGAGTGTTGAAGAAGTTAAGTTCATATAGCTAGCAAGTATCAGAGGTGTTCCGCAACCTAAAAGAACTGAAGATATAGTTTGAGAAACAATATGGCCCATCCATGAAACAACTTGGGAAAAAATTACCAAGGAACAAAAACGAGATAAATTGTGTATAAATACTGAAGTTTCATGGGGTAAAGCAGTGACCAGAGTACAATGATATTAGAAATGACCCAACTGAAATTCTATCTCCTCACCACAGAGCCTTGGCTAAATCACACCAACCTAAAGTAAACTCTCCTTTCTCTGAACTCTAATAGCAATTATTGTCTATTAAATTCACACAATCTTGGGACATTTATTCTACCGGTTTTTTGAGCCATTATTTAAATATACTAGATTGTAACTTGAGGCCAAGGATTATACTTTGCTTTTTTTTTTTTTTATATCCTCCCCACCACCTGCCATGGTGCATTGTTCATAGTAGACACTAAATATTTATTGAGTGGAAATATTAAAAAATCTTCATTATCCTGTGTGTATATGTATGTATATATATATATATATATATATATATATATGTTTGTTTATATAAATATATGTGTGTATATGTGCATATATGTGTATATATGTGTGTTGTGTATGTGTTTGTGTGTGTGTGTGTGTGTATGTGTGTATCCCCAATTAAGCTACAGGTTTTTGAAGGAACTCTTTGTCTTATACTTAAAACCATAAAGCCATAAAACTTTATATCTAAAAGCAACATTAGTCTTTGTATCCCCTGCAGTACTTGAACATAGTAGGCATTTAATGAAAACAAAAATTTTAAATAACTGATATTTCTATAGTGCTTTAAATCTTTTAAAACACTTTTAATAGATCATCTTATTTGAGCCTCTGAATAATCCTGCAAGGTAGGTAGGTAGAGTAATTATCACTATTGTATAGATAAGAATAATGAAGTTCAGAGAGATTTAAGTGATTTGCCCATGATCATATTAAAACAGATTCAAACTCAGGTCTTTTTAATTCGTTTCCAGTATATTCTCCACTTTTCCATACTGCCTCTTTAAGTACTCAAGCAAGAATTTTGAAACAAGTAAAATATAAATTGAATCATGAAAATAGTTTTTTTACATTTAATAGTTATTAAAATGTATAAATACAATTCTGGTTCACCAAATACAAACAGAACATACGTGTGTGTCTGTGTCTGTGTCTGTGTTTGGGTGGGTGGGTATGTTATGTGTTTATTTGTGGTTCAGATAAATATTTATGTCAGCCTTATTCATTTCCAGTTTAAGCAAATAAGCATGGTTCAATCCACATTTTGATGCACGGTTTCTCTGTCTTAGAGAAGACACTTTTTTAGATAGATTATAAATGTAATTGTCATGATTTACTAAAGACTATGGGTAAATAGTAATCATGAATTCCTCAGTATGTGGGAGAGAGTGGTATGGGAGGGTGAGAATGGAGAACAAAATGAGAGAGAAGAAAGTTTCCATGAAAGGAATATCTAATAAATAGAACCAGTAAGTTTGCATTGCTTGCAAAGAGTACAGATGTGATTTCTTAGTCCTAAGACCATCAATATCAATAAAAGGGGTCATTTTGTCACCAGAAGAAATGGAGAGTAATATGGTCCAAACCTTTCATGAACACTACAGTACTCTTATTATCTTTGACTTCCTGGGATCACTTGAAGAGAAACACACTTATTTGAGAAGGCACCAGAGTGAGATTTTTAAGCTTCCAAAGTCATCGGGACTTTCAAATGGTGGACATCTTTCTAAGTTTATGCAACTTTATTTCCCTTTTATGTGATAAAAACTATCAGAAGAGAAAGTAGATCAGCAAATGGAAATTCTCCTAAAGTATGATTGCTTCAGCAAATTTCCTCCTTTGACATGATTTTCATTCTACTGAACTTTTGGTTTTTCATAAATAATCACTAAAATGACCTTTGACTTTTTGTTTGGAAGTTATTAAATGGAAATTCCATTTGCAATATTATTTTTATATTGGCACCCAAGAAAAAAGTGAAAAATGCAGATATAAATAATGAGTATTAAGAAATAGCACATAGAGATAGACTGATCAACTCCTGTAAGCATAGTATGCCTGAACATGTAAGCAAAAAATTAAATTTATTGTTTTGATAGTTATTAATTTGTTTTTGAAAAGTAGTTGATTTCCTAGTAATAAGTAGAGAAAACCAGTGTAACTAAGGATCTTAGACCATAGCAATTTCCATCTGCAAAACAAAATCTGAGATTTATTATAGCAGGGTCAGGGAAAGGGAAGTACACATTATGAGACAGTTTAGATTACCTACAATGCTGTTTACATTCACATATGGATCTCATTCTATTCCTCATTTTTGGACCAAGACAAATGCCCTTTTATAGAGCTTCTACAAGACGTCTGAACTAATGGACTAGCTTAGAAGGCTCCCTTCCTAATATATTTTAACACTTTGTGTAGTAGGCATTCCTCATTCATTTGGTTTTGCTAGTCTGATCTCTTTTGAGTGACCATGTTTCTTATCAGAGAGCTCAGTGTAATCAATACAATGTCATCTTCAAACAGCACTAAACTTCACAATCTAGAGGGAGAGCTCATCCATTTGGACTTCATGTTGAACATCCATGATAGCTGCACAGATTTTTGGTGTTCACATTTCCATGTTTTATGTCTCATTTGCTATTGGTAATGAAACAATATTGTTGTCATTCAGTTTAAGTCACGTCTGACTCTTCATAACCCCATTTGGGGTTTCTTGGCAAAGATGCTAAAGCTGTTTGCCATTTCCTTCTCCAGCTCATTTTGCAGTTGAGGAAACTGAGGTAAACAGGGTTAAGTGACTTGCCCAGGGTCACACAACTAGTAAGCATCTGAGGCTAGATTTGAACTCGGGTCTTTCTGACTCCAAGCCTGGCACTGTATTCACTGTACCATCTAGCTGCTCTATAGCAACACAATAAAATAGCATCAGCAACAAAAATTCCCAAAAACTAACAAAATCTTGAACATGTTAGATACTTAATAAATGTGTTGAATTGAATTGAAATTGACTATCTAGAGAACCAGTTCTTGAAAATGATCTCACTTGTATCACTGTTTTCCTCTGTATGTACCCAGTCACACCCAGCTATACTTCCTGATTTCACTTTCTTAAATTTTGTTTTCATTTATTTAGCATACTATTATTAATGATGAGATATCAAGGTAGTAACAATTTTATTTCATATTTCATATTTGTTTTGTTCTTTCAGTTTCGTTTTTAAAATGCTCTCAGGGCAATCTTGCTTACTTGGGTCCCATTCCAAGCCTTCTACAGGCTCATTTCCCTCCTATTGTTTTGTTTTGGTTTTAGCTGTTTTGTGAGGTAATCTACTCATAACATGCCATCTTCCTTCTCACTGACATTTTTTTCAAATGAGTTTATATCCTAATTTGATGTTATCTTTGTCTGCTATGTCCTTCTGGTAGGCAAAAAGATCAAGTGTTGGTTGGTTAAGGTGGTTTGGGAATGTTTTTAGTCTCCTTGCTGTGACAATTATTTATGTCAGCTAAACTTATTTAAGAAATGACAATGATCAGAATCAAATTCTTTGTCTTCTTCTGTTTCACTTTTTTCAGCATCAACAGAATCTGTAAACAAGTTTTATTTGTAACCGTAATTTCATGCAATGTCTTGTCAATGTAATTCTTATCCCTTGTCTCATTTTTAATTTAATATTAATTTTTACCATTTTTCAAACCAGTTGATGATCTGAATATACATATGCAGTTAATCCAAAAAATAACTTCCATTTGATAATCAATTGCTTTTTGTCTATTAAGACAGTCTCATTTTTTTTAAATATAGTTTGGACTTGCCAAGTCTATGACCTTCCAACTCTTTTCTTGAGGAAATCCTTCATAACATACAGGTGAAGGACTTCTTGCTAATCTACAAACTTTCAGCTGCTTTCCTTTCTTGATCCCAAATCACATTTTCTGTTGGATTTTTTTTCTCTCTTTCCTTGTGTCCATTTCTGAATCAAATGCAAGGCTTGGACTTGTTGGCCTCCAAGGACCCTTCTGGCTTAAATCTTTAATTTGTGATTAATTGACTTGTTTCAGGAGCAAGATGCTAATAACGGTTTCATTTTCCTTTTTTTTTCTATTTTTAATAGTTTAGGTGCATTTACTATGAGATAGAGAGATGGAAAATAGCACAGTATCAAGACTCCTCAATTCACAGTTTGACACTCAGAGAAAAGGCTCAACCTTGTGCTTCACTGGTCTTGTCGTTAGTTGCTCGTGTTTACACATCTGTATCTCTCTAGGGAAGGTAAGAGGTTGGCCTCCTCCTGGATTCCTTCCCTCCCCACTCTCATGCCTTCAACACCTATAATCTAGAGATCTCTAAGTGGTTTATTTAGGGAAGTATGGGATTTTCTTTAAAAGGAAGATAAATAATCTTTAGGTTCAAGGAAGCCTCACCAGTTAGAGCAGAATAAATGTTAAGATATGTTCTCCAAGTCACTTGGAACTCCTGTGTCAGTCATCAACATTCACTGCATATACTAAAAGAATTAGTAACTAAAATGGACCATGCTAATGAAAACATAGAATGGATAGATTGTGAATTATTAAGCCTTCATTTTACAATGGTGTTTTTAATAAAGTTCAAAGATGAAACTACACGGAGGTCTTTGTAGGCATATGGAACAACACACATTAACTTGGCACACCTCCTGAGCTGCAACAGCTTTTTTGAAATGGCACCTCCTCTGTGACAACTATTTTCCATTCCTGACCTCCCACACCAGTTTGTAAGACATTTCCCCTCACACTACAGACAGCACTTTCTTTGCAACTATCAGACATACTTAATTTTAAAAAAAGTTTCGTTAATATTTTTTGAACCTTACTTTCATTTTCCAGTCACTCTCACTACACACACACACACACACACACACACACACACACACACACACACCCCTCTTCATTGTGACTATAAAGTACAATTTAGCAAAAACAAATCAGTACGTTAGCCATATCTGCCAATGCACGCCTCATTCTTGCCTATATTCCATGACATCTCCAAGGAAAGGAGAAAGGTTTCTTCACAGAGTTCACCGTCAGCTCTCTGAAAGTCACAATTGGTTGTTGAATCGATCTGAATTTTGAAGTTTTTCATTGTTGTTGTCTTTATGATTATGGTTTTCACATAAATTGTTTTCCTTGTTCGGCTTATTTTATTCACCACATATCAATTCATGTGTCTTTCCATGTTCCTATAAATTCTTTATATTTATATTCTTTGTATTCATTTTATTTGTTGTACAGTTGTTTTTCAGTCATGTCTAATTCTTTGCAATCCCATCTTGGAGTTTTCTTGGCAAAGATACTGGAATGGTTTGCCATTTTCTTCTCCAGCTCATTTTACAGATGAGGAAACTGAAGTAAATAGAGTCAAGTGACTTGTCCAGGGTCAAACAGTTAGTTAGTAAGTATCTGAGGTCAGATTTCAACTCAGAAAGATGAGCCTTCCAGGGGCAGCTAGGTGGCACAGTGGATTCAGGAGGACCTGAGTTCAAATCCGGCCTCAGACACATTACTAGCTGTGTGACCCTGGGCAAGTCACTTAACCCCATTGCTTAGCCAAAAAAAAAAAGAAAGAAAGATGCGCCTTCCTGACTCCAGGCCAAGCACTCTATCCATTGTGCCACCTAGCTGCTCTTTGCCATTTTACAGCCTAAGGCTATTCCATTCATTCGTTTACTACCGTTATTCAGCCATTCCCTCAATTAGTAGATATCTACTTTCCTTTCAATACTTTGCTACTACTACAGAAGAATTAAGACTGTTATAGATATTTCTGTAAACATGACATCTTTCTGTCTTTGATTTCTTTTGGGTTTATATTGAGCAGTGATATTGCTTGGTTAAAGAGTGCGCACAAGTTAATGACTGCTATATCTGCTATAATTGCAAATAGTTTTCCAGAATGATTGGATCAATTCCCAGCTCCACCGGCACATTAATGTACCTGTCTTCTCATAGCCCTTCAAACATTTGCCATCTTTGTCTTTTATTATCTTTGCCAATCTGATAGGAGTGAGGTGAAACCTCAAGGTTGTTTCATTTTCATCTCTCTTATTATTTTTAATTTGTAGCATTCTTTAACATTGTTGATAACCTGCTTTTAATGTACTTTTCACAGATGATCTAATATATACTGTTTATATTTAGATATCAGGTCTTATCTGTGGTATATATCTTCTCTAGTACTAAACTTAGTGATAGCTGGTGTCAGGCCAGTAGGTATCACTTTCAGTTGGAGAGGTTTAAACAAGTGCTTCATAACTTTCTATTGTAAAAAGTGAATCATTCCCTATTGTGTGTGGGTAGGATTTGGGGAAAGGAGTCTGCACATATTAGATGATTAGTAAATATTGTTGAATTGAATGTCTCAAAATGTGGGCAACTAAATCAATCAAATAATGACCTACTGCTGGCCAGGCACCATTAGGCCTTTGTCTGATTCTTCATGAGCCCATCTTGGAGTTTTCTTGGCAAAGATACTGGAGTGGTTTGCCATTTTCTTCTCCAGCTCATTTTATAAATGAGGAACGTGAGATGAACGGAGTTAAGTGGCTTGTCCAGTGTCAAACAGCTAGTAAGTGTGTCTGAGGCTGGATTTGAACTCATGAAGATGACTGTTCTTGATTCCAAGCCCAGCGCTCTACCTACTGTGCCACCTAACTGCCCTAATTGTTAGGTCTAAGGGTTGCAAAGATTCCTTGCCATCAAGAAGCTTCTATTCTATCAAAAGTATCAGGGAGAAGCAACTTTTCAATCACCAAAGTCAATAAGTCAGCATGTCATCAAGCATTTGTTAAGTGCCTACTATGTGCCAGGCAAGGGGGGGAAAGCCTCGTTCCTCCTCAAGGAATTATGAGTATGTATTTTGTGATGGCACTTACTGTTTACAAATCACTTTTATGTGCATTGTCACATTTTATCTTAACAATAACGTTGAGAAATAGAAAGGACTATCCCTGGATTGAAACATCACTGCCCAAGGGAATATGAGTCTCAAAACATCACAGGGGACTAGAATCGTCCTAACCATCTACATTATTTTCACTATGTTAGGAGAAGCGTTCTATCATCAATCTCTGATTTTTAGTGAAAGGGTGGGAGGGCTGAGAGCATAATGAGACGGGGTAAGGAAGACAATCGACTACACGCTAATGACCCTCCAACACCAAGCCCTTAATTCTCTTTTTTACTAGCCTATTCCACACACTGTAAAAGAAACACAGAAAAACAAAACTCTGAAGTAGTTCACAAAAAAGAATCCTTCTACGTGGGTGAGAAATTAAATTGCCTAGCAGTAGCCCTGGGTGCTAATGGGGAGAACAGAAGGGAACAGCAGAAATGATTATGTAACAATTTAAATGTCCTTAAATGATACTGCTGCATGAGGATAGCCTAGAACAAACTTCTACTTTGCATGCTTATCTACTACTGCCATACTGGGTGCCATGGTTAATTCTGGGCAGAGTGTATCTAAGCGACCAATCCACAAGTAATAAAGAAGTGCTATTTCTCTTTCTCAATAAACAAAGCAGCCCAAACCAGGTGTGCGTTCCATAGTAACATTTTGTATTTTTTCCTCACCAAAAGCATCAGGTTATACCTGTCAGGCTCAGTTAGAAGGGTTTGAATTTCCCGTTGTAGCCAGAGGGTGATTCCCTATCCTTTGTGAGTGGGAAGGTGGGGAAGAGGGCTGGATCTTATATAAAATTGGCAGGCAGCAGCCTCTCTTAAAGCCCCCCTTTAGCTAGGTAATGCACTGCTGTTTCTAACTAACCTGTAAATAACCGGAATTCTCACATTTTTATAGCAAGATGGTGAAAATAATAGTAACAGTTTTTCCTTATGCAGTGCTTGAGGATTACAAAATGCTTTATGAACATTTTACAGATTAAGAAACTGTAACTGTACAAAGTTGGGTGTTTGGCCCAAATTTAAATAACTAATTAAAGGCAGAACTGAGATATAAACCCAGATCTGATCATTTTAAGTCCATTATATTTTCCAGTGATATCCCCATAGTCATTTCCAAATTAACAAAGCTAAAAGAGAAATCATTATCTTTCGTCCTAAACCTACCTCTCATCCTAACTCCCCTACTTATGTTATCCTTGAGTCACCCATGTTTGTAACCCTGGAGTCATCTTCAATTATATCTTCTTCCTCAACCCCCATATTCAGTCATTTGCCAAATCAAGTTAACATGTCAAGAAGAATTTTTAAAGCACTTACTATTTCAGGGACTGTGCTAAGCACTGAGGATACAATAAAAAGGGAAAAAATGATTCCTGCCCTCAAAAAGCTTACATTCTAACAAGGAAGACAGCCTACAAACAACTATACACATAAAATATACCTACATGCATGCATACCTACATAGATATATACATGCACATGTATACATAGTGAATTGAAGATAACCTCAGAGGGAAGGTTCTAGCATTAAAGGGGATTGGGAAAATTTTCTTAACAAAAGGTGAGATTTTAGCAGAAGATTGAAAAAAGCCAGGGAATCCAGAAGGTATGGGTGAGAAGGGAAAGCATTCCAGGCATGGGGGATTCTAGTGAAAATGCCTAGAGTCAGGAAATGGCGTGTCTTGTGCAAGGTACAATAAGGAGGCCAGTATCACTGGATTATAGAGAATATAGAAGGGAGTAAAGTGTAAGAAGGCTGCAGATGTAGGAAGGGGCCATGATATAAAGGGCTTTAAAAGCCAAACAGAAGACTTCATATTTTATTCTTTGAGCTGTTAGTTTACTAAATAGGGGAGTGACATGTTCCAACCTAAGCTTTAAGATTTTGGCAGCTGAATGGAAGAGAGATTGGAGAGGAAAGGGACTTGAGGCAGGGTGATCAATCAGAAAACTTTTGTAATAGTCCAGGAGTGAGGTGATGGGGACCTTCATCAGGGTGGTACTCATGTCAGAGAAGAGAAGAAAATATATAAGATATATTGTAAAGATAGAATCAACAGGATTTGGCAATAGATTGCAAGTTAGAAGAGAGGTGAGAGTGAGGAGTTAAAGATCAATTTTTTTTGAAAGCTGGGGTAGCTGGGAGGAAGATGGTGCCCTTGACATTAAAAGGGAAATTTGGAGAAGGGGAGAGCTGGAGGAGGGGGTAAAAATAATGAGTTCAGTTTTGGACTTGTTGACTGTAAGATGTCTCTAAGACATCCACTTTGAAATATCCAGTAAGGAGTTAGAGATGCAAGACTGAAGACCAGGAATGGGGTTAGGGCTAGATAAATAAATCTGAGAATCATCTGTATAGAGATTATAATTGATGGGAGCTCATAAGATAAACCAGTGAAATTGCAGAGAGTGAAAAGAGAAGAGGATCCAGGACAAAACCTTCAGGGATAGCCACAGACTGCAGGCGTGACCTGGATCAAGATTCATCAAAGGAGTTAAAAAGAAATATTCAGACCAGTAGGAGGAGAACCAGTGCAGTGCTATGAAACTTAAAAAGAGCGTCTGAAGGAGAAGAGGGTATGGATAGTGTCAGAGGCTCCAGCGAGGTCAAGAAGGTTGAGGATTGAAAAGAGGCCATTATTTTTGGCAATTAAAAAATCAATGGAAACACATTTCTGTCTTTGCAACACCTCTTGCATCTCTCCCCTTCTTTTCACTCACACAGCTACCAAACTATTTCAGGGTCATTATCACCTCTTCCCTGGACTATTGTGATAGCCTTCTTGGTCTCCCTGCCTCCAATCTTTCCCTTCACCAGTTCAAAGTGCATACAGCTGTCATATGAATATTTCTAAGGCATAGTCACTTTAATGCTCAAGAAGTTTTACTGGTTCTCCACTGCCTCTAGGAAAAAATGAAAACTCCTAAATTTGACATTTAAAATTATTTACAGTCTGATTCTGGCTGTCCTTTCCAGGCTGCCTTCACATAATTCTCACAAACTATATTCCAGTCCATTGGACTATTTGATATGCCCCATACATCACTTTCCCTCCCCCATGTCTTTTCATGTTCAGTAGCTCACACACTTCCTGCTTGCCAAGATCTATGGATGTATTCAGGGCTTCGGTTAAAAGAAAGGTATAATAACCCACTATTTTTTGACTCGGTCTCTTATCTCAGCCTCTAATCATACAAGTTCAGTTGTGGGAACACCTACAGATTCTAGTTCTTCTTCCTCCACATCCCATTTCTAGTGGTTAAGATATGGTTGGCTATATTGCCCCAGAGTAAGTAGAGAGGAATAGGAGTTCCCACAATTACCTTCTGTTATTTTAGCTTAAATGACCCCAGGCTTGAAAGTTTGGTGGCCTTCCTAAAACAGTCCCCACCCCCCCATCCAAAACAAAACAAAACAAAAAAACAAAAAACTTATGTGATTTCAAAATTCCATGGCACTTTGCATTGATCAGACAACATCTGAAGTAATCATTCCAGTTCATTAAAAAATTAGGCCCAACAGTTTGATTAGGAGTCTCAAAGTCATATTATATGAGACAATTGAGGAAATTCTGAGAATTATGGATTTTAGAAATGAATGAAACTGTAAAACAATAATATCTAACATTTATGTCACACTCTCAGAAATGCAAAGAGATTTATGTATATTATCTCATTTGTTCTCATGTATTGTTATATATACATTTCTAGTCTTCCCATGTACTTTCCAAATGAAGTCGTTGTGGGTCAGAGAGGTTTAGGGATTTTCTTCAAAGTCAAGTAGCTATTTAGTGGTTCAGCGAGGGCCAAAATCCAGATCTCCTAACTCTTAATTCAGTACTCTTTTCATTATGCTACCTCTTAAAGCTATTTAGAAACTTAGGCAGTCAGATATTTGGTGACCTAGCTTTATTTATTACCTATGTACCAAACTCTGTGTTTAGCACTGGAGCTACAAAGTAAGGCAAAAAACAAAATAAACAGGAAAAAAAAATACATACTTTCTAGGAGCTCCCAAACAAATGGGAGGAAACAACATGCTTACAACTATATACAAATGAGGGCAGGATAAACTGCAGGTAATCTGAGAGGGAAGGCCCTAAAACAGGCCTGCATAATCTGTGGCCTGCCAAAGGATCTTGAGCAACCTGGGAAAAATGTAGAGGCCTGCCCTAAGATTAGAGGACTGGGAAAGGCTTCTTGTAAAAGGTGGAACTAGTTGAGATTTAAAGGAAACCAGAGAATCCAGGAGGTAGAGAGGAGGAGGGACAAGGTTTCAGACCTGGGGGATAGTCAGAGAAAATACTCAGAGTTAGGCAACGAACCATCACATTCAAGGAACAGCAAGGGGTCTAGTGTCTCAGGATCAAAGATTGCCTGGATTGGAGTAAGGTATAAATCTGGAAAGGTAAAAAAGAACCAGGTTATGAAGGGTTTTACAAACCAGAGTATTTTAGACTGGATCCCAGAGGTAATTGAGAGTCAGTGGAGTTCGTTAAGTACATATGTGACCTGGTCAGACTTGAAATTTAACATCACGATGTCTGAGTCAGGATAGATTGGAATGGGGAGAGACTTGAGGCACAGAGACCAACCAGTGGGCTATTTAAATGGTCTAGGTGTGAATTAATGAGGGCCTACATCAGGGTGATGGTAGTGTCAGAGGAGAGAAAACAGTGTACATGAGAGATGTTCCTATGTTATGAAAAGATTGGATATGGAAGGGGAGAAAAAGGGAGAAGTTAAAGATGGTACCTAGAGTGAGAACCTGGGTGACGGATGTCATCCTCAGTGATTGTATGTAAGTCTGGAAGAGTGCAGGGCTAGGTGAAATAGTAGAGAGAACTCTGGACTTGAGGTCAGGAACATCTGAATTCAAATCCTGATTCAGATGCTTACTGGCTTTGTGACCGTGTAGGCAAGTCACTTAGCTTCTTTTAATCTGTTTCATCATTTGCAAAATGGGGCTGATTATAGTACATACTCAGAGGATTGTTTTAGGGAACAGATGATATATGCAAAGCACTTTGCAAACCTTAAAGTTGTATATAAATGCTAACTGTCATCATCATCATTATTATACACAACATTTATCAAATATTTGAAGGGCTATAATGTAAAGGAAACTGAGTTCTTTTGAGTGCTAAAGAGGGCAGAACTAGAACCAATGGTCTGGAGTTACAGAGTAGCAGATTTCAGTTCAAGGTCAGAAAAAGCTTTCTTAAAAAATGTGATGAAACCAAAACGGCTTTCATTCATCCTTCAAAAGTATATCAGCAATCTCACTGATTCCATCCATCAACCTATTTCCCTCAAATGCCCCACACCCTTCATACAAAAAGAATCTCCTCTAGTTAGTAACTCTATGATGACTAAAACACTTAGAGCTCCTATAGTGGGTGTCAACTCCATGACAAGCACAAATGTTACCACAGCTAATTATATGGTTGAAATCACTTGACCATAGAGCCTGACATTAATTTTTTGGTGCTTTCCTTCAGTTTGCAGAATAGTCTTCCCTAAAGATGAAGGGACAGAGTGATCCCACATTCTTAAGTTTAGAGTCTGAACTCATTCTCCTAGAGAACAGCACACATTTCTGACATGCTCTTTCTGCCCACCAGAGCTTTTGGGGGTCTCTGGGGCTTCAGTGGAAAATTAAGAGGCACCAAGTATTCTATTCCTTCTATAGGGGGAATGTACACTTAATCATCTGGATTCTTCAAGTTCATCAGTAAGTCTGAATATTTATCTTTGATGATTTCACCAAACATGTAAGTATTACCTTATGTCTTCACTCTTGCCTACCTGATCATATTACAGTCCCAAAAGTCTAATTCTATTATGAAGCCTTTCCTTATCCCAAAGGGAATTCTCTTGATTGCAAAGTTAGAAAATGAGTTCAAGAGCTAGACCTGCTCCTTGCTAGCCATGTGATTTTAGTATATAATTTAACCTCTTTGAGCTTTGGTTTTCCTCTTTATAAAATGCAGATAATAATAGTAGCATTTCCACTTCCGCAGTTTTGTTGTATGGAAAGTGCTTATTGTATAGAAAGTACTTTGTGAATTTAAAAATTTTACATGTGTATGATAAGATAAAAATATAATTAAAAATAAAAATTGTATGCCCACACATATACACATACACATGTGCATATATTTATATATATGTACATACGATATGTATGTGCTTAAGTGTATCTTTTCTCCGTCCCTTTCCATCAGTCTCTCATCTTCTCCATGACCTGATATGTTCCAACCACCAGATCCAAAGTACGTTAATTAATTAATTGATATCAACTTGGAATGAAGTTGCTTTCTAGTTCCATGTAATAGGCCTTTGTCCTTGGCCCTATTTTGTTCAGAAGTTTTGAAGTTACTTTTATGAAGCCATAAATGGTCTGCTTATCAAATGTGCTGGTGACACAAAGATAAAGAAAAAGATAATATATTAGATAACAGATCTGTCAACCAAAAGGGGCTTGATAGGATAGATTGGACTGAATTTAAAACAGATAAGATGAAATTTAACAGTAATAAATGTCAAACCTTCACTTACATTAAAAAAAAATTGACATTACAAGTACACAAAGAGGGAGACATGGATAGATAGCCTTTTGATCTGAAGTTTTGATGGAATGAAAGACCAATATTATTCAACAGTGTCATATTGAAGACAAAAAAAGTTAATGTCAGACTACATTGAGGAGGATAGTTTTGAGAAATAAGAAGAGGTAATAGTCTAAATGTACCCTGCTCTGGTAAGTTCACATCTGGAGGTCTACGTTGAGTTAAAGACACTAAAATGTGGAAAGAACATTGCCCAAGATTAGGGCAGACAGAATTGTAAAAAGCCACATGTCCTTTCCCATGTAAGGATCATTTGAAGGAGTTTAATATGCTTAGTAAAAAGAAGAGATGGGGGGAGGGAGGAAGGGAAGGGGAAGAGGAAGAAGAGGAAAAGGGGAAAGGAACATAATAGATACCTTCAAGTATTTGAAAGAGTTATCATTTGGAGGAAGGGTACGATTTGGTCTTGGACCCAAAGAACAGAACTGGGAGCAATGAGTGGAAATCCCTTAGCAGTAAATTTAAGGTTGATATCAGGAAGAACTTACTAGTAATTAGAGCTACATACAACTGGATTGGGGTGCCTTGAGAGCTAGTGGATTTCTCTCACTGGAGGTCTTCAAACAGGCTGGATGTTCATTGTTCATGAATGTTATAGTGAGTTAGAAACAAAATTAGATAACCACCTGGACTTGTGATTCTTCAAGGCCTAGATTTATGAAATTAAATTTAACAAAGATCAATTTAAATCTTTGATAATACTTAGGTTAAAAAATCAAACACACAATTATAGGGAATGAAGGAAATATGACTAAACAGCAATTCATATGGAAAAGATAATGGAGTTTTGGTGGACTACAAGTTCAATATGAGCCAACAATGAGACATGTAATGATCTCATATGGTCATAGGCTACATTAGTGGAAGTGCAGGATAGGGAGACAGACTGTACCTATGATTTATTGATAAGGGAAGCAAAGTTTGGCTGTAGATGTTGGTGCCCTCTCTGTGGAGGTCTTCAAGCAGAAGTTGGTGACCACTTATTGGATATGCTAGAGTGAGGATTCCTTTGTGTATGGGTTAGATTAGATAGCTGCTGATGTCTCCAGTAAAACTCAAATTTATGGGAATCTATGATGCTGGCCTGCCTTCACTAGTATAGGTAGGTACTTTATCTGCAATTGATCATCCTAAAACATTGCCTAGAGCACTAAGCAATTAAGTGACTTATCAAAGATCCTATACCAAGTCTGTGTCAGAGTCAGGACTTGAGGTCTTGTTGCTTTCAAGGTTGGCTCTACCCAATACCCCATGATGTCTCTTTGAAAGAGAGAATGGCAGAATAACACTCTAGTGTTTAGAATAAGGAAGGTTACAGTCCTTCCTAACAGTATCCCAGAATATCTGGAAAGTTGTGGTCAGTTCTGCGGCACATATTTTAGGAAAGACATTGACAAAGAAGACTACATGCTTGGGACTGTGATTCAAAATTATAACACACAAGAGGTAGGCAAAGGGAAATTTAATAATTATCTTTGAGTTTTTGAAGGGCTTTCACATAGAGGATTGATTAGACCTTGTTAACTTGAATGTTATGGGGGAAATTAGAAGTAATGGGTTTCTGAGAAACAGAGTTTGGCTACATATGAGGGGAAAAAAAAGTCAGAGCTTTCCAAAAATGGAATTGGCTACCTCAGGAAACAGCATATTCTCTCTCAGTGGAGCACAAACTGAATGAACACTTGCCAAGGATAGAAGTGTCAAACTCCCAGCTGGTAAAACTCTGCCCTAACCAGTGTAAAACATAATTGGAAAATAAAAAAAATATATATGATGTAACATATATAATGTTAATTCATGTTTTTTCTAAGTCAATATGTGGCCTACAGATTCATTTCTATTTGATTTTTACATCATTGTTATAGAAGATATCCCTGCTCAAGTAGGGATTAAACCAGATGACCTCTGAGGTCCCATGAACTATGAGATTCTGTAATTGAATTAATCTTTCTTCAACTAGAATGCAAGCTCATGTTATGGAAATACTATTTTTACCCTTAAATACCTTGCATTATATTAAATCAATGTCTTAAAATGTTTCTGGAAATGAGGACAACAGTGAGATTCTATGATTCTATGAGACATGAAGGAATATGTAAAAACCAAGTATTTAGCACTCACCTTATTGACTTTTTCTACAAATTATTTTCTATACATATTAAGTCATTTGGAGCTTTTAAATGGAAATTATATTAAGTTATTGTGCTTGTTTCTACTTTTCTGACAGTTCAGCAATCTTTATCATTAGTGAGTCATTTCTTGACCTTTACAACTGGTTCTTCTGGGCTGATTGGAAAAAACCACCTGTATGAAGTATCACTAGGAAGGTTCACAGAACGGAAGGAAGCTATAGTCCCTGAATGCAAGGAGCTGATCTTCAAAAGAGAAGAAATCATACAAAAGTATGCAAGGCTAACAAAGAAAATAATATATTCTATTCCCTTCTGGATGCAAATCAGCACACAGCTATAATTCTGTGTAAATATGTTTTTTCACATACATGAAATTATTGTGAGTTATGAAGAGATTGCTAGTCTATTTAATAAACAGATTGTGGTTCTCTAAATGAGTAGAATTACACTTGATCAGACAGGAAGGACAAGGTGAAATTTTGTGCGCTAGTTTCCTGTGCAGGCTTTCAATTAAGTCACATGGTAAGGATTAATATTGTTTGTTGAGTGTCAGCAATGTAGTTGGCAATATGCTGTACATATGACACTAGTCTTTTCTGGGAACACAAAACAGACAAACCGTTCAAACACAAAATGAATCAGCCAAGAAAAAAATGTCAAAATCTCAGAGGTGAGAGGTTTCTGGGCATTTCTATTTGCAGATCTTGGGTTCATCCCTCTCCCCAATCTCTACCTCTATACCTAGGTTTTTTAATGGTCCTGAGTTAATAGCAAGAACTCTCAACCATTTAGTTCTTAGGATTAAATTGTGTGGGCTTGTCTAACTTTCATAGAAAGGAACTGCTTTAAGGAGATCCTGTTTGTTCTTCATGCAGGCTATCCCAAGGGTCTCAATGCAATTCTAAGGTATTTAAAGCTTAGATTTTTGGAATACCCTGTATATTTCCACTGAATCATGGAAAGAGGGAAACATCACCTATGTAAGGTGTGTTTACACCCTAGTTTTGACTCAGATGACATTCATAAGTTTTAACCTAAGGCACACCTGATGGAGTGTCAGCAATATAGTTGGCAATATGCCAGACACATGACACCAGTCTTTTCTGGGAACACAAAACAGACAAACCATTCAAACACAAAATGGATCAGCTGAGAAAAAATGGCAAAATCTCAGAGGTGAGAGGTTTCTGGGCATTTCTAGTTGCAGATCTTGGGTTCCTCTCTGTCACCCCATCTCTACCCTGGGCTGGTATTCAGGGAAGGTAAAGAGGACTCCCCCATGACCCAAATTCAATATTTGTATGTTTTTAATAGTTCTGAGTTAATAGCAAGAACTATCGACCACGTAGGTCTTAGCATTAAATTGTATGGGTTTGTCTAACTTTCATAGAAAGAAACTTCTGTAAGGAGATCCTATTTGTCATGCAGGCTGTCCCAAAAGTCTTCATGTGATTCTAAGGTATTTAAAGCTTAGATTTTTGTAACACCCTGCATATTTCTACTGAAGCACAGAAGGAGGGAGAGATCACCTGTGTAAGGTGTGTTTATGCTCTTGTTTACCTGACAACTATGGGTATTTCTAGTGGGGGGGATTAGCAAACCTAAGAGTTTTTTTTTTCCCTCTGCTTTTAAGGGAAGGGGTGGGCAGAGAGAGAGAAAAAATAACAACTGTAGCCACAGCTAATACGTTGATCTTCTTAATCGATGATGATGTTATGGACCCCATAAGGAGCAATCATATTTTCTGTTCTTTCCCCTGTAATGGTCATGGTTGTGCTAAATCAGTGGCATAAACACATTGAAATCCAGAAGGGTACACAATACTGTAGAGAAATGAACTTTTAACATTACGAATGCATTTACATAAACAAATAACTTCATAGATACAGCAAATGGGGTTGAACTATATTTGCAAGCTGGAGGAGAAGAGCCTATGGAAAGGTTAACTCTGAGGTGCTTTGGTAGCATTTTTCTTTATTTAAGTGGGGCATTGTTGTAACCTGTGCTGACACGTTTGCCTGGGAATAATTTCTGAAGTAAACCTAGCTATGAAGAAATGCTTGCTGGCTTCCTCTTTTTATCTTATCTGACTCTGTAGAATTTCAAATTAGAATATTTTTTATATAAAATAATAACGATAACAGTAGTTGACATACATTTGGTGCTTTATGATTCACAAAATACTTTATTATTTTATCTGATCCTCAAAACAGCTCTGTGAAGTAGACAGTGCAAGCATTACTGTGCTCACAAGGAAACTGAGGTCAAAAGAAGATTGGCGACTTATGGAAAGTAAGTAGCAAAACTGAGGTTTGAATCCAGGTCTTCTGAGAAAAAAATACAGAGATCCTTACAAGCTCTAGTTCTGTGATCTGTGTCATTGATTACTTACTAAAGCAGTGAAGCTCAGAGAAACCAACCTCTTTTTCTCATCATTATCAAGTCCCAAAGACAAGACAAAACACTTAATGAATAGAATCACAGACTCATAGATCTTAGAGCTGTGAACAACCTCAAGCAAGCATCAGGTCCAGCTTCTACCTTCAGAGTTTATATGCTGTACTTAATATGATTATTAGATGAAGTAACTGAGACCCAAAGGAGGTAAATGACTTCTACAAGATCATATGGCTTGTAAAAAGTGCCTTGTGGAGCAGACTTCTGGTCTCCGGCTTCCTAGTGCAGTACTTTTTACCATTATAACAATATACTTCTTTGCCTTAGTTGAAAAAGTGAGAAAATATGAAATTGACTAACACCATCCATTTATGTTGTCTTTTCTACATTCAATTATTTCTAAAACTAATTTAAGTGGTTACTTTAAGAGGGATGGGGAAATAAAGAAGTGCTAGGTACCAGTGACAGTCCTGGAATAGAATGAACAAAGAGGAATAGGTGAAGAATAGAGGGGGAAAAGTGATAGAAAAAAGGAAGAAAAGAAATAAGCAAATATGGTACAGTAAGGTAGTATGCCATCAATGAGAGGTCAAAGTACCACCTTGTAGCCTTAATGACTCAAGATACTTAGCCTTACCCTAAAGAGTGTCACTTAACCAGATTTAAGGGTAGGTATAAATTGTACTGTAGGTTTTTCCTGTAACAAGCCTGGCAAGTAAGTATTTTTAAAGCCTAGTCTGTGTCTCTTTAAAAAATCAAATAGAAACCAAAAACCTTCTTAAAAGCAGTATATATATACATATATACACACACACACACATATATATGTATACACATATGTATGTTTGTATGTATATGTATACACATATATACCTATGTGTATGTTGTGTGTGTGTGCGTAAGTATACATGTGAGTATGGGTATAAATAAATATATATATATCAAATATATATTATATTTAATATTGCATACATTTATACATTATACACATATTACATATATGTATAATATTAAATATTTAACATACCATGTGTGAAGAATAGTATAGCACTTTACTAGGGCAGAAAATAGTTGTATTAATGGACCACAGTAGTCCTAGATGTTGTATTATTTTCTTCCCTAGGCTAAGTTCATAATTCAAGCTTAAGAAATAAAATGAAAAGATTTGAAGAGATCTCCTTTAAATTTAAAAAATATGAATAAATAATAACATTCCTAAAATAAGTCATTCTGTCACTCTTTTTAAAGCTCTTTCAGACAGCAGAAGCTTTTTGAGGAGAAATATGAGAAAGATAAGGAATACATCCAGACATATTTAATTAATACTCTCAGAGGCTATTTAGCCATATAACTCTAACACCCAAGCCAGTTTAGTGACGAGCCTCTCTAACTTGAACTAGGAAGGCACAGTCTATTGCTGCGACTAAACTCAAAACCTGTGAAGCATCACAAAACCTTGTAGAGCTTATGTACTTACATGCTATGGCCTTAGCAAACCCAGGATCACCTCCATGCCATAAAGAATGACTTTAGTAAGATGGAGAACTATTGTGCCTATATATAAACACTGTCGGTTGTCTTCCCATTTGAATAGGTCCAGTGTGGCTTTAATATTACACTTGAATAGTGCATCATACTTGAATAAGGCAGGTTCTTAAAGGGTTGGGAAGAATAATAGCTCACATTCATATAACACTTTAAGGTCTACAAAGGCCTTTACTCACAATAGCCTTGTGAGAGAGGTATTGCAAATATGATTATCCCCATTTTACAGATGAGAAAGCTATCTAGTGTCATAGAACTACTGGGTTTCACAGCGTGGACTAGAATCTAGTTATCTGAAACAGAGCAAGCATTTACAACTTACAAAACATTTCCTCAGAACAGTACTCTGAGGCAAACAGTGTGTTATTATCCTCATTTATCAGATAAAAAAAGCTGAGACAAAAAGAGATTTTATGACATTTTCATGATCACGCAGATAGTAAGTGTTAGACCCAGGATTCCTACTTATGCCTTCCACCTCCAAAACTTGGGCCCTCTCCAGTGCTCCCCCAAGATCCTAATATCCTAATTGTCCAGTGGACATACTTTACAATGAGTGTATAGAAATAAAAAGACTCTTTTGAAGATAGGGAGAGATCCTGGAACTCTGATTTTTTTTCCTTTTTGGTGAGGCAGTAGGGGTTAAGGGACTTGCCCATGGTCACACAGCTAGTAAGTGTCTGACTTCAAATTTAAACTTAGGTCTTCCTGACTCCAAGGCTAGAGTTCTATCCACTGTTCCACCTAGCTGCCCCCTTCTGATTTCTTTAGTAGGGGGAACCCCTGGTTATGGAAACTCCCTAGAATAAGAGTTCTTAAATGAGGGTCCATTAACTTGTTTTTTTTAAATATTATGATAATTTTATTTTTATATAATTGGTTTCTTACATGTTTTATTTTATTCACTTAAAATATAATCATGAGAATGGGTCCATAGGCTCTACCAGATATTCAAGGTTCCAGGACACATACAAAAATAGCTTAATAACTACTTTCCTAGACCAATGCTTGTTAATACCTTCTCTGCAATTTATACCCTCAGAGAGTTGCCTGGCATTGAGTGGTTAACCAACTTACTCAGGAGCATATAAACAGTATGTGTCAGAGGCAGGAGCTGAACCCAGGTTGCCTTGGCTTCAAGGCCAGTTCTCTGTCCACCATATCTTTCTGCCTCTCACTGAAGACAGCAAGTAGAAAAAGGACAAGTTCAGAGTTGACTCTGTTAAGTGGCAGGCCCTATGCCTTGCTCCATTTTATATCTACCTCTCCAGACAAAAAGAAAACATTGATTAAACATTGGACATGGTGACAATTTCTAAATATCAGCAGGAAGTATAAAAATGAGGATATAACATCCTGACAGCCTGCAGTCATGCTAGACTGTGGAATATTTTTAGGATAGTGTGTATTTTTTAAAAAATAATGTACATGCTGAGAAAGATGTCATGAGCAGTTCTAAAAAAAATCAGCAGGGTTTGTTTCCCTTGGAACATAAAGCCACCTGCAAATAAAAAAAAGTATTAGTCAAAGTCCTTTTTGTTTAGTTTAAAACTTTGTAACACCATACTTCTATGCTTTTTATATTTTAGTCTTCAACCACATGCTAAGTTTGGGACCGTGAAGTTGTTTTTCTAACAGAAATTAATTTTAAATTGACCATTGCAACAGATTTATACCAAAATGATTCATATCTTTCATCTAATAGCACAAAAATTTTAAAAAGTATTATTAAGTCAGTTATTAGAATATCTACTTCTGTAGCTCTCTGTACATGTTTCCTGAGGATTATTTCTCTATGTTCTAGACCAGAGATGCAATGAATCTAAAAGTGCCACTGAGCTTGCTTTGTATATATCTGTATCTTGTTTTTTTGAATAATAGCAATGGTTTCCCAGGGGTCACAGGATAATCTAGAAATTCTGTTCAAGGCCTTTAGCAGTTAAGCCCCTTCTACCAGTCTCCACACTCATCTTTCCTTACTCCACCACATGAATGTTTGTCCTGCTTTTGATTCTGCAGTGGTTGTGGTAGAGCAGTGTGGGAGAGAGGAAAGGGGTCAAAAAAATCACAGAGTTTTTAAACCATTTCTAAACATCATCCTAGCTGTTAATACTCTAAATGTGAGATCCTTGTGCAGTGATAACAGGACACACTACTGAAGAATTTGAACAGTTTTGAAACTTGGGATCCTTTCTACAAATGAAACCAGAAGACAAAAGGAAATTGTAGCTAAAGTAACAGGCTGATAAAGGAGGTGATTCAAAGGCAATAAGAAATATTTCTTGGGACATTGGTTGTCTTATATTGCAGTGCACATGGCAAGAATTTCTAAGGATACTTACTGCTTTTGTGTCAACACTGGATGTGGAGCAGCAGATAGAGACATTATATAAAAAAACTTCATAATATAATCTTACACATGCTTTGATATTTGGTAACTTCAATGCAAACGTGAGCAGAGAGAGAAAGTGAAAAATATATTGGAAAATATATTTCAGAAATAAGAAATGAGAGAAGCCGTAGATTGGTAGTCCACATAGAAATCTCATGCCTATATATTATGATTACTTTTTTTTTGAGAAAAGAATTAGAAAGTGCTAGATATGGCAAATGAAATCTATTATTTTTTAACAGAAAGAAAACAAGTCCTTACTGATGGAGGAGTTATTTCAGAATCTGTAAATAATCAGATCACCAGTTTTTAAGGGGAAAAAACCTAGAATAAGGAATAAAAATGAGAAACATGCATCATGAACAATTAAAACAATTCCAAAATAACCTTTTTAAAGCAGTGACTGTTCTCTCCTAAAATAAGAAATGTAGAGAAAAGTATATCAATAGTGACTTTAACAATTTCATACTGGAGTTTAGCCAGTATAAATTAATGGCCTTAACCATACACCACAAGAATGCAGATAGTAATTCAATCAGCAAATATTTAGCCCTTGACAGATGAGGAGGTATATCAGAAAATATTTGTTTATGATTCAAATGTGTTTGTAAAACACATAAGGCATTCGACAAGAGAGTAAGACTATAATAGAAGGGGAAAAAATTAGAAGGAATATCTCTTCACAAAATAATGAGAAACAGTGGAAATACAAAGAAGCTTAAATAGCTGATTAATAGTTCAAATTCTGCCTCAGGCACTTAAATAGCTGGTTAAGAAGATGGTGTTTAAGAACAAGATTTCGATTTCTGACTGGCACTTCAAAATATAAGATTGATGGAATGCTGGCATTGGATAGAGTATGCCAAGCAAGTACTGGCAAGAATGTATTTGTATAAAGTCTTTCAGATCTAGTCAATAGAGCTTTAAACAGTTTTTTTTTAATGTAGGAGGTAGCAAA